AAAGAGTAAAATCAGAGTGTTTCAAAGGGGAACTCAGCATTACTTGTGCAGCTGAGTCTGCACTGGAATTTGGAACACTGGATAACACAATGTACAGGCAAAGTACTATTTCTGTTTCCCAGCAAGTACAGCAGATACCTACAGAACAGTGTCAGGTAAAAACATGCACATTTTAATCAACTGCAAGTCAATTTAAGTTGTAAGCAAGAACTTCCTGTTGTACAATTCTAGTTAAAAAACCCAAACCACAAAACCCAAACCGCTCTGAAAATAATTCCTTACAAACTGGCTCTGACTTACTTTTAAATGAGCAATTTGGTAACTTTGGTAAGAAAAAGTAATCAGCAGCCTCAAGTTTGAAAAAAATAATCTGATCATTACTTGTGCTAATATCTGAAGTTGTGTGTTATGGATTCAGTTTTCAGAGGAAGTTATGCAGCAGCATTAAAATGCCAAGAACATTAAACAATATCCAAGAGATCCAAGGATGCTATATACAGCTTCTGTAACATAAATAAACACATGCTAACTGCATTGAACACCACATCATGCAAGTATTACCTCCCCTAGATACACATGCAAAGTTTAAATTAGAATCATCTGCATAATTTTGTTGCATTCATGATTAAGTCTTTCAGTCCCACAGCAACTGTTTCCAAGCAATAAGCACTTTAGTGCTAAAATATTTTAAAGCAAGTGTGCAGGTTACAGAAAGAATCCCAAGTGTAACAAATGATTTTCAGCCAAGGGGAAGTAACTGAAAGGGCCTTGTGATCCTGCTGATAAATAATGTAGGCTGCATTTTCCCTCTGCAGTGTTTCTGTCTCTCCAGCTGTAGCACCTCACATGACAGGAATGACTATTTTGCAACATCAGAACTGAACTTCATCTCTCAGGTGTATCCAGTTCAAAGCATCTTTTTCAAGTATTTGCTGGATTTTTTGTAAAATACTTGATATGGACCAGACCTCCTTCATTTTTCAACTTCTAAAATAACTACACCGACAATTACTGGATCCTTCCAACAAAGCCAATAGTTTTTTTGGGTTTTGGATTTTTTAAGCAAGTGTTAGGCTACAGTTTAAAATAAAATGTTTCACAGGATTATGATCAAGCACCACTGATTACAAGAGCTCAGATGGTACAGCTCTGCTTGGTTTTTTAAGAAGTTCTGCCCCAAAGCAGAAAGCAAACATGGGAGAAGGAGTCAGGATTCTGCAGACAGCTGCCCACGTTTGAGAGTCCCCAGTACCAACAGAAGCCACAAGCAAGAAGCTACACACACCTCAACACTGCAGAAAATCTCTCTGGCCTCAGTGATGTGTGCATATTTAGGTTCTTCAACAAGAAAAGTCTTACACACCACGCGAAAAAAGGAGGTCACCCCTACACACACTATTGGTTTTGGACTTGTGCTACTTGGTGAACATTTTAGGGTAACTCTTGAGAAACAATTTTACCTTTTGATATTTGTTCGGGAGTTCCTGTGGGACATGTAAGTGAGAGTTCTGTGCAAAAATATTGGCTGCAGGGGAAAAAAAAGAAAGAAAAGGTTATGTCTTCATTAAAACTTCCTACAAGCCCAAAGTAAAGGATTACAAAGACCAACTACTCACTGCTATTAGATTCCGGGTACGGAGGAATCTGTATATCTGTGTTGGTTCTAAGGAAAAGAAACACATGTTATAACCCAGAGTAACTCACACCTCCAGAAACAGCCTTGCAGTGACAGCACCTAACTTAGCACCTTGACTACTCTGAAGCAATGATCACAAAAGTCATCATTTCAGTGAACCATCACAACGTCCAAAGAGCTCCAAATTAACACGTCAAAGGTCAATTCTGCTACTCCGTAACTCCAAGCAACTTCTCCTTTAAGCTGCCATAAACCACAACCCAGCTCTGCTCTTGCTTTCCACAAAATGTGTCTCTTACAGGCTTTATATGAAAGAAAAAAACACCTCAACATATCACAACCTCTTGTCAAGTAGGTAAGTTCTCCTCACAGAGTCAGCAAACATCTGATCTGATACCAAAATAGTACAATAAATTCACACAGTTGGACAATTTGGTATCTGATTGTTTTATCATCCTGGAAAGTCCCAAGGTCATTTGCAGCAGGTAGTGAAACAAGCACGGGGATGTCAGTTGGCTGTGATGCATTATGGACCACTCTGAGCTGGGAAATTCACGTTGGTTCTGGTAAAATTATTATGTTTCAGACAGAGGGAGGACAACACAGCAACACACAACACTGCTGGGACAGCATAGCATCCTCTCAGACAGGTACCAGAACCAGAGCTCAAAGGATCAAGACCTGCCTATACACACGAGAACCTTCAGTTTTAACCAATTCAGTTACATCAGGCCAAAAAGGGCTTTGTCTGGATCAGGTTATATCTCACACCAATTCCAAACTAAACTGAAACACACCCTCTTTCAACTGAAATCAAAGCCAGTTTCATTGAGTAACACCAGCAAGAAACTTGGAAGTGACTCGATAAAACACCTCAAGTGGAGAGAAAAAAGACAGAGAACAGAAAACACCTTGATGCCCATGCTAAGGCTGCTAACACTGCCTCTATTTCCCACAGAAAGGAAACAATCTCCTTAAAGAAATATCAAACCTCATTTTCATATCACCGCAAAACATTTATTTCAAATGGCTGGAAAGCTTATTGTATGGAATTCTGTGGTTAGAAGTGGAAAAGGACAATATTTGACACCCGTTATCCTTTATTTCTACAGTTATGAATGCACAGATTCCACCAGTGGAGATGTGTTATTGTCAGGAAACGAAAGTTCAGAATGATCACAGCGTTTCCTTTCAGAGGCCTGACCAAAACCCGTAAAATTCTGCTAAATGCAAATGATCAGAATAAAATCTGTACTTTGCAAATCGAGACAGCAAAGAAAGGACTCAAGAAACGTGCAGTTTGCTACAAAGTGAAAATACAGAGTAGACACAACGTTTAAAGACACATCCCAGGTTTTCAGTCTCTAAACCCCCACGATACAATCATAGTTTAGAAAGTTATGAAAACACTAAATCACGTTTAATTCAAAGGCAGTGCACTGCTGCTTCAGCTTTACTTTTCCCAAGCAGAAAGTTTCTGAAACACACTTTTCAGCCTGCAGAGAGACCTATGTTTCACAAGTCCTTATTACTCAGAAAAAGCTTAAAATAAATCTTTTTTCCTAGCATATGACCTTGAAGAGACAAGAACAGTCAGAGAGAAGGTGATTCAATACTACACGTCAGGGGGTTTTAATCCAGTATCCACTCACTGCAGTTTTCCCACAACGTTCCCATCACAGAGTTGACACATCATGGTACATCTGCAGTGTACCCTCCTCCTCCTCCTCCTCCTCCTCCCCCGCACAGCTCCTGCTGCCCTCGGCTGAACCACCGAGCCACGGGCAAGGGAATATTCTCCACCTGGGACACCGAGCAAACCTCCCACCTCAAGTTTGCCACTTTTGTGGCACAGTATGGACCGAACACAGTGTTGCTACCAGCACTGTGGCTCAAAGGACGTCACACTGTTCCAACCACCACCAGAAACTTCAACACTTTCACTGCTTATAACGAGCGTGAGCACTGACAGCACCGATCCCCAAACAGGGCCATGTCCAAGTAGGGCATCAAAAATTCCCTTCAAATCCTGGGACCGCACAGAAATCTTTCAGCACAAGTTCCCCCTGCTTTTGAATCACACTTC